TTATGATGAATTCAATAGTGAACTACAGTTCTACTTGTAGGCTTGGTAAGAAGTTACAACCACAAATAGGCTACTAGATTTTTAATTACATGGACTTATTTGTCCTGGCATTATCTTTTATTCTTTCAATTTAAACATTATAAGATAGTGTAGTAAAACTAATGAATTACTCTTTTATATCTCTCTTGACTCCTCACATTGTCTACACTATCTAAAATTCTAGGTTTATTTTTAGTTGTAATATAATCTAGTTTTAGTAATAATATAATCTTTTTAAGGGCAACTGATAATTCCTAAAACTGATTGCTTGGGGATGTATGCGTTGTTTATTTGACTCAGCTTTTGCTGTTTTTATCCAAAGACATTTTAAAATGAATTAATCTGTAATTTCACCATAATTAAAAAGGAAGAGTGAAATTCCCATAAGCTATAGGCTTAAGATTTGCACTTATGACCTTTGAAATATACACTCATCCAGCTTGCTCGTTCATTACCTTGGAGGAAGGTTTATAGATTTGAAGTCACAATAGAAAATCTCTTTTATTGTGAAATAATGATTGAAAACCACAATAAAATATCAATAAAAAAAGAAAAGAGTAAGTCTAGAGTTCAAACGTATCTTACAAGTTCTTACAAAGATCTCTGTGTATGTAAAATATAATGACCTTCATAATGTATAAGACTGTTTTCATAGGAAGTGTATTTGTTTTAATTAGCTCTATTTCACACTACAATGATTCATTAAAAATATAGAGCTCATAAAGACAAAGTTGAAGATAATATACTTTGTTTAGATATCTGAGTAAACAACATAATCTTTCAATGGGACTTTGGGCAAATTATTTCACCCAAATGCCTCAATTTCTCCATCTCTAAAATAAGAAACATAATAGCACTTAATTTATGTTGGTTTTCTGAGAATTAAATAAGATATTTTATAAAAAATACTTAGCAGAAAGCCTGGCATATAGTCAATGCTCAATGAATATTAACTATTAATCATATTAATTATTAGCTATTATTAACTATAGTAATAGGCTTTAGAACATTTTGATTTCTTCAAGGAATAAAATTAAATATTTGAAAATTTATAAGAATTTTCAGTTGGAATGTTTTGCATAGACCATTTTTTATTTCCATTTTTGATGTTCTTAATAGTTTAATACAGTATTCTCATCTGAGACAAAATGGTTTTGATTATCATCAGTCATAACAAAGAATTAAAATAAAGTGTACTCAATAATCCTCTATTTTCTTATAAAGAAGTAGTGTTACTCTTCAAAGTAAAGGTAGAAACTCATTGCTTGGAAATTCTCCCTGTTACAAGTGGCCTGAAACTCACCACTCTTCCAACCTCTCAAAACTTGTCGAGCAGTTAGTTTTTATTTTGCTTTTGTTATTTTCAAAGTATGGTCTCATGACCATCTGCTTTTGGATCCTGTGTGGTGCTATTTAGGCATGCAGCCTCCAGGGCTCATACTCCAACTGCATAAATCAGAATCTCTAGGTATAGGGCTCAGCAAGCTCCATGTCTATCAAGTTTCTCAGGTGGTTCTTATGCATAGTAAAGGTTGAAAAATTCGAATACATCAGACCACAAGAAAATACTGTCAGTTTTTCTGTCTTCTGATTTTCCCAACTGGGAGCAAATGCCTCTTTCTTTCACAAACAAGCTTTGACTTTCCTCATGGATCAGCTAAATAAATTAACAGTTTTTACTGGCAGCAATTTTGGGGCTCTAGTCAGAGACCTGGACCTGTTATGGTCTAGAAAAAAATTCACAAGAAATTAAAGGATCAAAAATTGCTGTATTTTCTCCTCTGTAAAATGGAGTAAGGCTTGAAAAGACTCATGGGTTTTATGGTACTTTTATCACTTTGGGAAATCCCACTTTCAACATTCCCTCAGGCCTTCCAGTCTCTTCAGGAGAAATTTCTTACCTCAGGATAAAATGTGTATTTTAATAGAGTTGATTACATTTGAGGGAAAATAGTGAAATGCGTGTATAATTTAGCATAATGTATTTTTTTGTTCAGAAGCAATTTTGAAAAATTGATAATCAGTAAGAGAATTAGATGATTACTTTCTGCTGTTAAACTATAATCTGTAATATTTATTACATTAAAATTATTTTTGTGTGTTTTACAGGAATTGCATTGCCTCCTAAAGGAAATGTAGATATCTTAGTGTTATTTGTGCCCCCAAGTCTGAAATTATACAAAACAATAGTCATTGTTCAGATGATGAGAGCAAATACAAAAAGTTGGCCTATTGACAATTTTGATGAATTGGATATAAACATGAAAAGGTAACATTTATATAAAGACATTAAAGGAAAATTATTTTATTTTGACTGGCACTGATGTGATAGGTTTCCTTTACATGTAAAGCTCATGATTTTATATTCACTGAACTGCTGAAATTAGTCTGTTCAAAAGAGGAAAATATATTTATTATGTGGGCATATATTATATATGCATATAATACATATAATATAATAAAATATTTAATACATATTATATAATATATTTATATATTTAAAGTATATGTTTTATGTATTCACAAAATATTTTTATTGTTATAATAATATGTAATATATATAATTGCTTATTTGAATTTCAGAAAGATCAACAAGTTTAATCTTAAATATTATTATCAAAGAATCAGAGTCAGAGACATGCAAACAGAGTCCTTTTTGACTGGGAAAATAGTGACTTTTAACACAATAAATAATCAATATCCAGAGGGCAACCTTAAACAACTGGGCAAAATATAGGCCCAGGCATTGTGATACAGGCATTCAACAAGTGATAACACTGTGCCAGGTGGATAGGAAATCCCAAGGAAACACTGCTGTCACTGCTACTATGTGCTATGTACTGCTATGACACTACTGTGTCATTGCCAGATGCAGCTTACTTGTGACCTTCTTGCTTAGCTTAAACTCCAATAATGGTGCAAAATTGAAATGTTTTCTCTGCTTTTATAGTTTAATCAAATAATGGTCTAGAAATTTTAGTTAAACAGAAATCATGATTTTGTCCTACATATGTATATTTCTTCCAAACAATTTTTTAAATGCCTTACTATGGGCCTATTAGTATTCATTCTGCTATGCATTTCACCCCTTTACAGTCAAGACTGGCTACATATTAATAATTTGTGATTTCCAGGAAAAAATGAGAATGAGGGGACCCTTGTTCAAAAATTATCAAGAATTTCAAGTCAGTTACAGTAGCGCATTAAACAAGCATGGCGCCCTTCTAAGTGTGGGATATTATGCAATTGCACAAGTCACATGCACAACTGGTCCTGCCTGCACTATTTTGCATTTTATTTGAACAAGAAAACCTCATCTTCAATAAGGATCAGAAATATTTTTCTAGTATTGCTGTCTTACTAAAGGTATATGATGGAAAATATTTGGATAAATGCTCTCTTTCTTTTAACTGGTATCCCCTAAAAGTAAATTCCTTATCACTTTCTGAAGTCCTGTACTTTATGGCATTTTTTGTTTTGTGCTTTGCCTGTCCAATTTACAATATAATCTGTGAGGACTATATTATCTCTAATCACAGTTGAGTCACATCAATAAATACGAATAGCAATCTTTAAAACAGGGAAAATCTCTTCAATTTTAACGTATATCTCATGATGGTTTTATTATAGTTTTCTTTGTGATAATTTCCCAGGATTGACTTTGAAATGTTTATAAAATCAATATTTGCAGAAAAAGTTTTCTATTTTGTCAGTTTCCCTCTACCAAAGTTTAAATTCACAAGCTTTAGTAAAATACTATGAGGTTAATAAAGAATAAGTGATTTTATGCTAATGTGGAAAGCATTTCTCTTTTTTGTTCACTCTTAATATTTTAATTTCTAATTAGAACTATGGGAGTAGACAGTGGAGAAATTCAAGCAATACACTGGATGTACCCTATTCTTGGGCTCCCACAGACACCATTTCCTAAATCTCCTTCAGGTAGGTATAGAGTCAGAGAACACCAGAAGTCTAAGGCACCTTAGATATCCTATAATCCTATCTCTTCTTTGTTCAAGATCCATAGAAAGTAAGTAATGACATGAGCAGCCCCATGGATGGGAATACTGGGATATAAACCTACTCTTCCAATGAATCCAATGACTTTTCCACAAAACCAAATGATTTCCTGTTACCTTCCTATTGATGAAACCCAGTTAACAGTTAAGGTTAAAATGAAATTAACTTCAAACCCCTTTATCCCACGCAGCCCTGCACTAGATCTATAAAATTCCCAGGTACACTTGTTCTCAGGTCACTTTCAATCATCCTATTTCAGCTTCTGTGTAACTCTCAGTCTCATCTAAGAACTGTCCTGTGGGGATGATGATCCCTTTATTCTTACTTGTCTCAGATGCAAAATCTTTATGATGTTCTGCAGAATCAGTCAGGATGTACTGAAGTTTTCAGTGAGGTTTACTTTGCCAAGATACACACGATATAAAATCCCTGCTCTTAAATATATTTATTTTGTCAATGACTCCCCTTTTTTCCCCACATACCTCAGGCTTCTCTCAAGTTTCTATGTATTCTTGTTCATCAATACTCTTCTCGCTTCTTTCACATTCTTTGATCTTACCATTTTCTTCCCAGGATCAGCCGTAGAAACAAAATTTCTTTTAGATAACCATACAGCAAAATAGAGTATTCCAACCTCTTACCAGGTTCTAGGTGGAGTTGTATATAGCTAAGATGCATTGAATTGCTCTGCAAAACAAAGGGCTATCTATATTGGATCTCTCTCTTGAGCAGCACAGATGAGTTAAGTCTTGAAGTTTTGTTTTTCCCTTTCCCTCCAATACTAATTTTTGTAAGTAAAAAGGAGTTAGACTTCCACTGACATATGTCACCACACTTAGAAAGAAGAGAAACTAGTAAGTTTTGCTTGTAAATAAAGCATTTCTCCAAATAACACTAATTATAAAAGAAGGCCAAGACCACGTATTTCCTTATGTAGTTTTAAGTTTAACTGTAGTGAAAATCCACATATAGAATAGTACCTTTGACAATAGATGTCATTTCTTTTACTTAAAGTACTTTTACTCTTGAATTAAAATATTATCAACACATACATAAATATTTCAAATATGCTAAATTATCTTCGGAATGATGCACAAATATGTGGAAATGTTTCCTTTATTTCCTTCTAGAAGATAGTTGATTGTATACTTTCCATAGAGCTGAACTTTTTAAAATTTATAATACACAGTAATCTGGTCAAAGTGTTGTAATAAAGCCTAGACGTTACTCTGTTGGAATTCTAATAGTAGTGTTGCTCATGTCTGCTGCAGAAAAGATTTTATCTTCTGCAGATTAAAGGCTTAAAGCAAAAAATTTTCAGTCAGAAACAAAGCCTATGAGAAGACAGAAACATAAATTTCTTGTACATTTTTCTTCAAAGAAAGTTAAATGTGCTCCAGAGCATTCTCCTTCAAGTCACTTTTCTTGGGATTTTTAAATTAAATGTGAGTTCTGTAAATAGCTTACCTCAGATTAGCACAACCCAGTAGTAACATTGGTGTTCTGAAATAGATTATATATTAGTTATGAAATCATTTTACCAAAATTTAAAATCTATGCTGATAACTATTTTTAATTGCAAATGCATTTGAAAGGGGAATGGATATAATTTTATAAATACATATTATTTGCTTTCTGTACAGTCCATTCTTCCATTCCTCCATTCTTTATTTAATAACCCACCAGATATAACCTACTACTTTCCCTGCTCAACTGTATTACTGTCAAAGTTTATTATTTTTTTGCTTTTTTATGTATCTATCATTCAGGTTATTCTCAAATCCAGGATGCTTTTGCTGTTCTGTGAACTACCTTTTGTCTTTGTGAATTCTTATCTACTACTGTCTGTTGGGGCAGATAACTGGAAAAGGACTCCAGTACCTGTCACATTTAAAGACAACAGAATGTGAATCCATTGTGATTGCGTGATCTTTCCATTGTCAGGGCACTAATTTCCTGAGGACTCATAGGACAAGACCAAGGATATGATGCTAATTGTAACTTTCATCACACTTATTTCCAATTTAATGCTTTAATACTAAAACTAATTATAACCAGAAAGGCTCGTATATTTTTCCTAGCCATTTTAACTCTTTTATATCTATCTTTGTACCCTTATTGTATATTTCACATACTTATTCTAAGTCTAGAATGTTCACTATAAATTTATAAATTTTATAACGAAAAAATAAATACATTATAATATTTTTATACTATAAATATCATATGTATTGTGAAAACACAATCTGAAGACATCATCTAATTTTGTGGTTTATGTGATTATATTATTATTGATCCCACAAAATCATAGCATAATACATTTCAAATGCTTTTTTATGATTCCCCTTTTCCCTTATATTCAATGTGTGTTTGACTTGATAAAAGTATAACATTTAATATATTTGGGTAAATAACGTTCTTATTTATGTGGACTCAACTACACATGACACCATAGTATTATAGAACTAATGCCAAAAACTA